TAAGTAGATTTAATTTCTTGAATGACTCTTCAAATTAGCCTCTGAGCCCTCTTCTCTTTGTCTGAATGACTGACGCTCTGCATTCCCTTCAAGTTCGTTGGGCCCAGAGCCAGTGGCTCCTTCAGAGGCTCCATTGCTTCTGCTTCAGTTGATGCCACGCTGCTGCACTGTTGCACTGTGCATTGTTGTGTGCTGTACTCATGTCTGGGGCATTCTTGAAATGCAACATTTCACCGGAAAGCAGCGGAAAGTCTTTTATATACGCCCGTCCAACTTCCGGTCTATAGAAAACTAAACTCAGTTACTAGAGAGCTCCACTTGTTGTTGCCGTTGCCGCTGCCGCTGCTGCTGCTGTTGTTTTTCTTGTTGGTTGCCCCAAGTGGTGGCAAGTTAACAAAAGGTGCGCCTATGCATATGCCGCATGCTCATTGTTGTTGCTCTTTTTTCTCCCTTTTTTTCCTCAAGCCGCAGTCAAGCGGCAATAAAGAGTGCAGGCGGTGGCGGTGGCGGTGCGGCCTTAAACTTGGCAAATTACTTTAACACAGGTTGGATTTTTGTCCTCTCTTTCTCTCTTCGTATCTATCTTTCTAGCAGCGACCCTAAAGATAAAGCGCCGCACACAAAAGTTACTCAAGGAGAAGACAAAAAAAAGTACCAAAGAAAGTACAATACAGTCAACATTCCGACTATAAGATATCTCTTGTCAGGATTTATTTCTTGTTTCTAACCACAACATATAGGAATTATGTATCTTACCTCTGTCTAGATATAATAACTGTGAAAATGTTCAACGGATTGGTAAATAATATCTAAATATATCACTATACTATAATATATTGTCATATATTTCTTCTAGAAAATCCTGCCTTTTTCGATTTACACGAATAGAATACACCCAATATACTCTAGCAGTAACAGGTAAACCAAAAAAAAAGAGACAAAAGTTAATGGATTTCTCTTGTGATATTTGACTTGAGCTCTGACCCAAACCCCAAGACCCGAAGCCCAAACAATTCTATATTTTCGTTAGGCATCCTATTTTATTTCGTTCTTTATGCGCGTCGTGAATTTTTCAAGTGAAAAGTTTACATTTATTATCAAGGTGTACGAGTGTGCAGGGAAAGTCGGGGGCATAGGCCCAAGAACCTGTCCTTCATGCGACAACAAACAACACATTACGTTTAATTGAATGTTGCGGTTGTGTCGCCTGTCCCGCCGACACGCTGACTCCTTCTTCATTCGGTCTTTTCTGCCCCACTCAGAGGCACGCGCCGCGTAAGAAAAGAACAGAAATTATAATGTAGTGTAAATATTTAATGATGATGTGGCTTTAGATTACACTGCCGTCACGTGGTTGTTGTTAAACGTGCACATTCACACCACCCTCGCAATGGAGGAGGCTGGGCCAGGACACCTCTCTCATGGCGAGCTTGACCTGACCAATTCAATGAGCTGGAAATGTCGCTACCTTCAGGGTATTTTTTACATGCGTACGCACTGGCAGAAGCCAAGACTTGATGTAATTCCTTGAGCGGCACTCAGTGAACCGCAAAAAGCAGCAGGCAGCAGATATGCAAATGGAAGTAAATATGAGATGTAGCATTTATATGGGAAGTTTAATGAGCGTAAATAAGAAATGCATCAGTAAAATTTTACTACTAGTATAAGAAGGTAAATCTCTTAAGCCGTAGCAAATTTTCTTTGAGCACTCCAAGAAATGAATTTATGTTTGAATTTTGAACTTTCCCCGCTCACTTGTTAGGCGCCATCTGTTGAATTCCGTTGAAAGTTTCTCATAGAGTTACCAAGCCCCCCGAACAAGTCATGTGATTGTGGACAACAACATCTTCATACCCTGGGAAATGGATATTATTGACGTGAGAAAATGTTTGTCATCCCAGACTCCAATGAAGGCAAAAACGATTTAGTCTCTGTTTTAAAGCTATCACAACGATATTTTGCAGTTTATTGTCTCCTTATGGACACCAAGAATGAGTTCGGAATCGGAACTCGTCTAAAGCATATCAACCTGAGAAAATATCTTTATTAATTACGTTTTAAAAATGGTTTGAAAAACAGAATCTTCATATTAAATTAACGAAATAGGGTATACAAGGGCCTGTACATGCATCATGTCTTCAAATACCAGCAACATTGGGACTGTTTTTTTGTTTTGTTGAAGTATTTTTTTTAAGCCTTGTTTAATCCAAAATACAATAAAAGCAAGTTTTTAAAATAAACCAGTTAATTAGAAAATATATTCACTAATCGGAAACAATTATGTGGGCATGGCTAAATGTTCTATATAGCTAGTAATATTCGAAGGAATATCAAAATTGAGCAATATGTATAAAAAAACTTGAATTCGTCAGTATATTTACGGTATATTTTTAAAATTTGACGGTATATTTCTGAGGGTCATACTGTAGAAATCCGCGGTCATGTGGTGTTTTTTAGTGCTAAATGGTATTTTTGTCAATTTCATCAATCTATTAATTTAATTTTCAATGTTATATAGAAATCCAATAAATGCAAGTATTTCGAATAGACCAATCATGTATAGAATTGATTCATCAATCGTACAAAATTGAGTGGGCATGGATAAATGTTCTATTTAGCTGAGAATATTCCACGGAATATCAAAATATTATATATTTTGCACATTTCGGTATATTTCTAATGGTCAGACCGTACTTTTGATCGAAAAACTCCGCGGCCACACTGATATCATGTGAATAGAGAAACGTCATGTGATTGTGATTTTTTTTCGCACGAAGTCACCTGTCGCCGAGAAAATAGAATTACGCCTTCAATTTGGTGAGTGTCCTGCGAATGATGGAAAGTTCAAGACCCTGCAACGTGTTTAATCTCAGCTAGACAAGAAAAACCTGCAAAATGGCGGCCCAAATACGCACAGTGGTGACATCGACTTTCCTGGGGCTCTTCACGGCCGCAGCCACCATCCTCATCCTGTACTTTGTTATGACGGGCAAGGGCGAGCGGGTGAGCGTTGGCTGGTTCCTCACCTCGTCGAATCCCTACATGTGGGCCTGCCTGGGCATTGGACTCGCCGTCTCGCTGTCTGTGGTAGGCGCCGCCCTTGGCATCCACACGACGGGCACCAGCATTGTTGGCGGCGGTGTTAAGGCTCCCCGCATCAAGACCAAGAATTTGATTTCCGTCATCTTCTGCGAGGCCGTCGCCATCTACGGCCTGATCACTGCCATTGTGCTCTCCGGCCAGTTGGAGCAGTTCCAAATGGAGACGGCTCTGAACAATGTCGCCATCATGAACAACAACTGGTTCTCGGGCTACTTGATCTTCGGTGCTGGTCTCGCCGTCGGCCTGGTCAACTTGTTCTGCGGCATTGCTGTTGGTATTGTCGGCTCAGGTGCTGCTCTTTCGGACGCCGCCAATGCGGCCCTGTTCGTCAAGATCCTGATTGTGGAGATTTTCGGCTCGGCCATTGGTCTGTTTGGCCTGATTGTGGGCATTTACATGACGTCCAAGTCGAAGATGGGTGACAAGGAGTAAGACTGCCAGTCTTCAGAGTAAGTGTGCATCGGCTCAATGCATTTCAGCCACTTCTAAATGCCGTTTTTCCTTTGCAGACTTCACTTACTCATCGGCAAGAAGAGAACAATAATCAGCCATCAAGTCATTCCCCCCCTTAACACGAGGGCCTCGCACAGCAACATCAGTGGGGCCAAGTTTTTTTTTCTGGAAATTACAACAAAAAGCTTGCGTTATATGCAGTTACAGTTTGCTCGAGGAATCCCTACCGAATCGAGACACGCTTTAAACTGGGACTTTAGTTACTTATTAAGTTGATAGTTTTTTGATAATTTAGATGTTTATTTTTACGCCACGCCTACTCGCGCAATTATCAGCATCCAATTTCAATTGATTGCTGAGTGTGCATGGTGTAAAAATGACAAAGATTTGTTTATGTAATAATTATTCTTTTGCCGACCGAAAGACAATTGTATTGTGTGTGCATGTGTGTGTATATTTATGATTCTAAGAAGTTTGTTATGTTTTTGTTTCTACTGGCTCTTGTATTTCTAAATGAGAATGTATTATATTAACTACTACAAAACGATGAACATGTATATTTTATGCTGCTCCCAATGGCAGAAGCAAAGGAAGATACACAACAGTCGCATTATTATTATTATACATAGCAAGTATTCCATATTAAACAAGTAATAAAATCTATACGTTTTGTTTATCAATCTATGTGAATGAATGACTGCGAGGCGGGGGCTTATCAAAAGCACGCGCAAACCTGTTATAACCATAGCACATACATACATATGTATATGTATATCAGCTGTATCTAGGTGCATATGTAAAGTATCATATTGGGATTACCTAAGGTCACTCTCCTTACGCAGATCTTTCGTCTATCGTTACAATCGGTACAATCTGATTAATCGTTCAGTTGTAATTGGAACAGCTGTGTTTGGTTACCTAAAATTTTAATGTGGAAAGTCACTGACTTTGGAGTCATACCATAGTTATGGCAATCTTTGCTTATATATGTGCGAATAGTTCAATAGATTCAGCTAATTTCTGAGCTCTATTAAGATGGCTCCATTCAACTTTAAACTTTTCTTGTTTCAATATTTGAAATTTAAATTTGCCGCTCATTTGTTGTTCAATTTATAACACTAAAATCAGGGCGGCATTCATAACGAACGAATCAATTCCATGTATCGATAGCACCATCGACTGTCTTTCCTGGCCTTTTTTGCTGATCTTCGTGGTTGGTTTCACTCTTTTCTCTCTGCTGGATAGGATGCAGTTATACTAACGGGAACGTGTATGGAATGAAGCAACAATAATGCATTCCAAACAAATATCACCTACAATATGTATCGGTATATTGATATATCGCTATCTCTTCTTTGCCCTTGCCGCCATTTTCGAAAAGCGTCCGCCATCTTAATATCTCTTCCTTTTCAAGCCTCTTTCTTTTCTTGAAACGTGAGCGGAGCCGCACGCAGTGCAGAGAATAATCGTAATTTGCAATTTGTTTGCTTTAAAATGTCTGAAACCGATGTCGAATCTACTGTGGTGGTGTCAGAGGCGGCTGTGGTGCCTATAGAAACTGCCATTGACGAAATATGGGAGGAAGAAGGAGTGGCTGACGTAGCCTATCAGCAAGCCAATGAGTGGCCTGAAATCAAGCTTTTCGGCCGCTGGGCCTGCGATGACATATCCATAGGTGATATTTCGTTGCAAGACTACATTGCCGTGAAGGAGAAGTTCGCTCGCTACTTGCCGCACTCGGCGGGACGCTATGCGGCCAAACGCTTCCGCAAAGCTCAATGCCCAATTGTGGAGCGCCTTACCTGCGGTCTGATGATGAAGGGTCGCAGTAACGGCAAGAAACTTCTGGCTTGTCGCATCGTAAAGCACGCATTTGAGATCATTCACTTGCTGACTTCTGAAAATCCATTGCAAGTGACTGTTAATGCGATTGTCAACTCTGGGCCACGTGAGGACTCTACACGCATTGGACGCGCTGGAACTGTGCGCCGTCAGGCTGTGGATGTCTCGCCATTGCGTCGCGTCAATCAGGTAAGCAGTATATGGCAAAATCCGGCTTAAAGTGCTGGCATCATTATTCCTACCATCTGCTTTGCAGGCTATCTGGTTGATTTGCACTGGGGCACGTGAGGCGGCTTTCCGCAACATCAAAACCGTGGCCGAGTGCCTGGCCGATGAGCTGATCAATGCCGCCAAGGGATCGTCCAACTCGTATGCAATCAAGAAGAAGGATGAGCTGGAGCGTGTGGCCAAATCGAATCGTTAAATTGCCCATCTCATTGTTAATACAGACATACATATGCGCTATGTATGCACACATTCCACAAATGTAACTGTAAATACAGTGTTGTATTTTCGAAACCATATAGGTGTTTCACTCTAACGCACATTGTGTATACAGCCGTCCCTTTCTCGCTGCAGGCAACATAGAATTGGAGATGCAAATTTTTTAAAAATTTAACGTTTGTTTGCGAGTTTAGATGGCGCGCAAGGTGCTGGTCAGCCCCCACTTTTCTTTATCAGTCATTTAATGTAGAGATCAACTTCTATTCATTGGAGCGAGTGCTATCGTCTGGAATATCAACTGTAAAAATGACTTTTCGTACCCGATTAATTTTGCTGATAGCTACCGTATCCACCGTTGCAGTGGCGGGTCTCATTCTCAGCCATGTGATGACAAACACCGGCGAGCGTTTGGGATTTGGCTGGTTTCTGTACACCAGCAGTCCCTACCTGTGGGCTGGCCTGGGCATTGGACTGTCGGTGTCGTTATCTGTGGTGGGAGCCGCCGTTGGAATCTATACTACGGGGACCAGCATCGTCGGGGGCGGGGTCCGCTCGCCCCGCATCAAGACCAAGAACCTCATCTCGATTATATTCTGCGAGGCAGTGGCCATCTACGGGCTGATCATGGCCATAGTTTTGTCCGGGAGTATAAACAACTATCGCCTGGCAAAGATGCTGAGCGACAAGGGCCAAATGGCCAGAAATATGTTCACGGGATTCGCTGTTTTTGGGGCCGGGCTGGCTGTCGGACTGGTCAACATCTCTTGCGGCGTGGCTGTTGGCATTGTGGGTTCTGGAGCAGCCCTAGCCGACTCGGCCAATGCGTCGCTCTTCGTCAAGGTTCTAATTGTGGAGATATTTGGCTCGGCCATCGGTCTCTTTGGACTGATTGTGGGCATATACTTGACATCCAAGGCGGATATGATTTAAACCCGATTACAAATCAAAAACTACTATTTATTAAGGCCTATTAAAGTAATTAAACACTAATCTTCCTCATCATCGTCGTCGCTATCGTCCGCCTCATCGTTATTGGCCCCCTGATCGCTGCCCTCATCCTCTTCCTCGTCCCAGTGTTTGATTTTCTTGTTGGTCATAAAGTCCTCTCGCAGTACATTCCACTCAGACTTCTTTTTTCCAGTTGAAGACGCCTCTGCTGTGTCATCTTCGTCATCATCATCTGTCTCTTGCTCCTCCTTCTTCACAGCATTGTCTATGGCCGTGGACTTGGCCCGCTTGCCGCTCATTAACACGTCCAGGAACTTTCTCTTGTTAATATTATTGAGCACTGCATCCTGACGACTGTCCAGTGGCCCTGCATCTGCCAGCTGTTGTTCGAGATCCTTCTGCTGAATGCGCACTGCGTTGAAGAACTGGACCACGCCTCGAGTGGCCACCTTGCGTAGTGTTCTTTCCCTCTCTAAGTCCTGGTAGCTGGGCTTCACTCTCAGCTGCAGGGGAACATTTCTTCGCTCTGTCTTGGTCAGCGTGGCATCCAATGCGGATTTGTCAGCGTCACCATCCTCCTCATCATCATCGTCCTCCTCTTTGACATCGCCCCCAACGACTTCAAAGTCAAATCCTGGCTTCTTTGCCGCTTCGCTGGTCTTGGAACGAACGACCGCTGGATTCTTCTTGGCCCGGGACAGCACGGTGGGTCCCACTGACTTGCTCTTCAGTACCTTTCCAATGCAATCTGCCCAGCCGGCGTTGGCCCCTGTGTCGCCGTCAACATTCTGACTGTCTTCAGAGTCAGATTCGTTGTTGGAACTGTCTGTGGCCGGCGCAGCTTCTTTTTTCGGGCGCTTCGCAGTGAGAAGAGCCATTTTATTCGGTCAGAAAACAGAAACAAATTTTAAAAACAAAATACGCGTGCTCCTCACGTTGCTAGTGGTGGTAAAATTTGTAAGATAATAACCGATAGCTGACCATATCGAATACAATCAGCTGCGATATTACCATCCCTCAAAAGCGACAAAAAAGAAGAAGAGAGCCGGCCGACCAACTAGAAAAACTGAAATTTTCTATTATAAACAATTATAATGCTCAAGAAGAAACTAGAGGCCTTGGGGTATCCCACACCCAGTGATCTGGCGCTAAGCAGTAAGTACTGATTAGGCAGATTTTGAGAGGTTATTAATAAGGTAATTTCACCACATATCCAGATCGCAAGGACTTTGCGAGCACAATCCTTTGGCTGGAGGACCAAAAGATAAGACTATATGCAATAGAAGATCGCGAAATTCTGCGCAACGTAGACAATGCCCAGATGTGGGAGGATGGCTACCTGAAGTACTGTGCAGACCTGAATATGCCTAGCCTGGGAACACAAAACGAACAGCTCGCCTGGATTTTGGGTCATGCCATACGTCTGGAGTTTCTGGACGATCCAGCGCAGTATGAGTCGATCAACAGCAAGCAAACGCTGCCGAAGATCAACGGCAGCCAACCACATCAACAAAAAGTGCAGGTTATTTTTGAAGGAAAAATGAATGGTAAAAGGTTTCACTTAGAAAAGCGACTCTGTAACGCATTCATTTATTTCCCAAATAGTGGATGACAAAGAATTTATTGCTGGAGTGCGCACTCTGGCTGGCCAACTGAATGTGCCTCATCATCCCAATCATTTGCTGCAGCTGGAAGCCGTAGCCCGGGTGGTACACGAACGCCTTTCGCCTGCTGCCAGGGGACGCCAGCCCATCACTGGGACACCCTTTCCCTTTGACAAGGGCAACGATGTGGTCTCCGCCAACGATCCCGCCCTTGACCTTCCCATGCGCATACTGCGCCTCTTGCAGATCCAGAGCCTGCGTCAGCTACAGACGCACATCAACGAGACGATCGTGTCGGTTCAAAATCTAACTGCCAATCCAAAGACTGACACCAAGCTGGGAAAAGTGGGATTCTGAACGCAGTTTCCATCGATCAAATTCAATAGCCAATCAAGAACAGTACATAACTAATTGTAAATTTAATGAGTCAGCTAGCAATTACAACCGCCTGTCTAGCGTCGAAAAAAGAATCCATGATCCTTTGTTATAGTCTTTGTGGGCGTCGTCCCCTCCTCCGGTTTCTCCTTGGCGGCTGGCTTCAGTAATCCTGCATTTCCCAACCGAGCCACGCCCAGAGCTCCAACAGCTAATGAAGATACATACATATAACCAATACAAATGGAATTGCCAAGTAGAAATGGAGTACGCACCGGCTGCCAACCCTTTCATTGTGTAGTTCTCGAGAGGCTTGCTGCGCCGCTTTGCCTGGGCCAACAGAAACACACCAATGCCGATCAGCCCGAAACCGCTAACCAGGCGGCAGCCCAAGCAGTCCACCTCATTGCTGGTATTGTCTTTGTTCCAAAACGACAGTCTTCCAATCATTTTGTTTGTTTCTAGAAAATTGTTGAATTGATCATCCAAGGCAAACTTTTCCTACTCACATATTCGATACATCGATAGCTATCGTGTGTACATCCACGTTTACGTGCGAATGGTTCAAACAGGTGTGAAGTTTAAATTGGCTGAGAATTTGTTTACTTATTTGAACGGCTGACAAAAATGGAATTTCAGCGAAGTGATGCCATGCTTATGGAGATTCTGCAAGGTCGAAAGACCATCGTCGGATTCCTGGACTCCATCTTTGGATTTCTGCGTCGCAAGTACACAGATTTAGACCTGAAACTTGATAAATTTAACCTCCCTGCTGCGATTACTCTAGCACCGACTTTTACCACACGAAAAAGGATGAGGCTGACAGGATTGGATTTCCCAAGGGAATGCGCGATCAAATTCTTTACGGAGCAATGCAGCGCTACGACCCGGATTGCATCCTTCAATCAATGAACGTCGAGAGTGAAATTGGAGGCAATGGTACATTTCTTCCTCCTGCTGTTGAGGAAGTAATCGTGGAAAGTGAGGCAAAAATCCCACAACACAAGGCTGATTCAGCAGAGGCTGTATTTTCCCCCATTGACTACAAGAATGGAGCTGTCTTTGCAAGCCACTGCTGGTCTCAGACGTTAAAGGATGTGGAAGTCCAAGTGAAATTGCCCGAAGAACTGAAAATATCCAAAAATCTGAATATAGACATCAAAGCAACAAAACTTAAGGTAAGCAGCAAGCAAAAGCCAGAGCACGTGATTCTAGAGGGAAATCTTAGCCAGCGGATTAGGCATAACGAAGCGTTGTGGACCATTGACCATAACATGCTGCACATCAGTTGTGGTAAGTACTCCACGAATCCCTGAATGGTTCAAATAATACCAATACCCTTACACTAGACAAGGCCAGGGAGCTCTGGTGGGACCGACTCTTCGAGGGCGACGCCGAAATCGATACAAAGAAAATTGACTGCGAGCGCTATATTGACGATCTTCCCGACGACACTCAGGCGACCATAGAGAAGCTCCGGGTGCAACAAATGGAGGCGGATAAGCAGCAAAGCCAACTGCAGGCTTCCAATCCGGAACAGCACAAAACCATGGAACGGTTACGGGCCGCCTGGGACGCTGATGGTTCGCCATTTAAAGGACAACAATTTGACCCGTCTATTGTCAGGATGAGTTAGTGTTTAATGTATACAACGTATTTCGGGTTAAATTATAACTAAAGCTAAATGAGAAGAGTTGTGCTTTACTGAGCCTTCAGCTCGTGCTTCTTGTTCCGCAATTGTTGCTTCTGGTATGCCACATCCTTGTCATCCGTGGACCAGGCCACGTACATATAAACGGTAAGCAGCGAGGCCAGGAGCAGGCGGTCTAGGCTCATCACATTCGTGGCAAACAGAATGACGGAGAGGCCCACAAACGACGGATGGCGCACATGGGAGTACAGATTACGCAGCTCGCTCGACTTGTAAGCTACGGGCTCGCCGTACTCTTTTAAGTCATAGTAGACCTGCTTGACGCCCAGCAGCTCTGGCAGATCCATTATAAGGCTACCACCAAAGATGACAGCCCAGCCAAGGCCATGGGTGACCACAAAAGTCCACCAGAGTGGGGCACTCTCGTCCACATCAACTTGCCACAAGACAATCGACTGGGCAGGCAGCCAGTTCTTCAGAAGATACTGCAATGGAATGAAATCTGTGAAATTAGCATTGACTGTTCTATTTCCATGGCTGTTGCTGTAGCAATACTAACATGTAAACAAATCGATGACGTCAGGCTATAAATAGTTCGCTCGGCTGCAGCCAAGCCCAATTTCCTCCACAAATTCTTCACCAGAGCTGACTTAAGGAAGCTGTGCTGGAAGATGAATCCTATCAGGTAGAGTGTGTCAAATACAATGGGTCCATAGGCGGTTTCCAGCCGGGACTTGTTGTCCAGTAAATTGAAAATCCAGGTGTGTGCCTTCGAAATGGATCGAGGTGTTGATAGAAACAGCATCAGCTTGCCAACCACGAAAAAGGTATACCCGAAAGTGGCCACCGAGCTCAGGAGCAGCATAACCTTGGCAAAAGTAGCCATTGATACAGAAAAAAACAAAATACTATTTATTAAATGCAAAATAAATGTTTATGTGATGGCTGATGATATCGCAGGCAAGGCATCGATGATTTCGATGGTTTTCAAAAACATCGATACTATCGGATTTTTCAAGCAAATATTTCCGAAAATATATCGTGGTTTTTTTCAGAGTTCAGAGTTTCAAGTTCAGAGGAGTTTTAGTTTAAGTTCAAATCTCTACAAGAAGAGCAATCAGTAATATTTTCCGCCATTTACCTCAAGTCGTTGAGCTGTTTAAATAGAGGGGGGTTGAGTGTGCTAAGCTCGTTTTTTTATCGGTATATTTTGAGAATGAGACCGTATATTTCGGTATATTTCGGTATATTTCCGAGGGCCAGACCGATAAATCCGCGTGCTCAGCGTGTCACATTTATTTGGCAAAATTTGTAAGTTTATCCTCGAATCTTTCGTCAATATCGACTTTAAATTGTTATTTGATACTTTCCAAGTCTAGTAAAAGTGATACACAGTAGAATATTGTCATTTGTGTCGCCAAGGCAGAGCCATAAGCAGCAACACCCCAGACAGTAGCAGATACTCAGTAAAGCAGCAGCAAAATGCCCAAGAATAAAGGAAAAGGTGGCAAAAATCGTCGTCGTGGTAAGAACGAGAACGAATTCGAGAAACGCGAGCTGATCTTCAAGGAGGATCAACAGGAGTACGCACAGGTGACCAAAATGCTGGGCAATGGTCGGTTGGAGGCAATGTGCTTTGATGGCGTCAAACGCCTGTGTCACATTCGGGGGAAACTTCGCAAGAAGGTGAGTACAACGTTCGAAAGTGCTCTCTTTGTCTGGTTCGCTTACTCTTTCTTTTGGCCGTGTGTGTGTATGTATGCGCGCTCTCTTAAAAGTGTACGTTATTTAGCATTTGGCATTGATTGTCAGAGCCAATATAGGCTATATACTTAGTTATTGTTGCTGTGCATTATATTCGCAATACATATGTACTTATGTGTATAGGTGGCAAATGTGTTTATTATAAATATTTGATGACCATTTTGGTGGCTCTATTGTGGGAGGGGGCTCGAAATACAATGGAGCCCACATTGTGTGGGAGGGAGTGTAATGCAGTGCGTTCGTTGTCCTTGTCTAAGATTAACAAAAGCAACGTATGGGTCGGCGGGGCAGCCATTGATTAATTATGTTCATGTATTAAGAGGAGCGGTGTGCGTGCCCCTAAGCAGTTTACTCCTTGACGGCGCCCCCCATGCCGGCATTTCTTAATCATCCCAAGGGTCCCAAACCTTCGTGTTGAGATACAGCAGCAGTCCTTAATCGCAGCATCAAATAAAGATTAAACTGCAGACGAGTATCATAAAGCCATAGACCATCTAGGGTATTTTCCGCCTGTACCCCCTGTGGATAGTCCTCTTTTGTTGCAATTTTTCTGGACTTCATCGAAGTTTCTTGTACAGCCGCCTCAAAGCAGAAGATGGGCGGGAATTACCAGGACTACCAAATACAGCTGCCGTACAAGCCCAAGATACTACCTGCCTTGGCCTTTCCATAGCCTTGGGAACGGGATTGTCCATAAACCGATTAGATCTACATATTCCTATGAAAAGCAGTGTGAGCGCACGTCAAGTCTTGAATGGTGCTTCACCCGACAGAGAGCCGTCGTCATAAATAAGATTTCGAATCAGTGGCTACGTCAAGATTCACGGAGTTAGTACGTCACTACCTCTTCCGTCGTAGATGTCAGTTGAAAAGTACCCACAAGTCCCAGAACAAGTCGCCAATCAATGGGGACATATCAGACAAGGGGCAATAAACATATAGAGCGACGAAACCGAAAAACAAATCACAGTCTAAGAAGGGGGGGAAACTGGGAGGAGACATGTCCCCGACTAATTGATTGTTATGGAAAGCAAAGCAAAATGGAAATGCAAATCAATCTTTCCCCGGCGAAAACAGACAAAAACAGAAACTGCCATTTCAGTTCTCACGAAATTCAAAAACGCAAAAGCACGTGTTTTGGGGCCGAATTCTCCAGCAACATCCTGACTTGGCACTTAATTAGCTTGTCCTGATTGGTCAGCGTGGGGGCGCCTATGGCATCCCGCCACATTTATCTAATCTACAACTCAAAATAATTAAAGCCAAAGTAATTGAAAGAAAATCGTGTGGTATATGTCTCGCCGCCAGCTACGACGCAGTTTTTCGCAGTTTGTTCAGAAATGCGAGTTTCTAAATCCCTGTAAATGGATTTGTAATACCACCCTTTGAGGCACACCCACACGCGGAATGAATCGCTTACACAAGGCCGTCTGGGGGATGCACTCCCCCTTGAATGTGGGACCCAATATCATTTACTTGAACTCTAATCTCTCAAGTAGTTTCCCTAAGGAATTTATGGTCGATTGCACAGGTGGATTTATGGCGGAGCGGCAGTCTTTGAGTGCGTTTAGAGGGCCTCTCTGTGTGGCCTAGACAAGTGATTGCACGGGACCACAAATGCTTCAGGAGCCTACTGATAGAGGCGCATCTTCATTTAACTATTTGGCGCATATTTTATCCATTATTCATTATCGTTTTACCCCAAAAAAGACTATATCATATGATGTGGGTGGAACACCACCAGTGGTGGTGGGGTTTCACCCTCCCTATCTGGGTCATCTGATCGCACTGTTCCTGGAAATTAGGAATTACTTTTGGGGGGGCGGTGCGGCTCAAAGTGCAGCCAATCGAGAATCAAAGGTCAACGAGTTTTCCCTCAGATGTCTGGACGTTAACTCCGAGCCATATTCTGCACAGACGACAGTCAGCTACCAAAATCTCTCTGTCAATCAACCGGCAGTCAGCTGATCCACGTAATCTGGATCCTAATCGGCTCGGCACGACGTGGACACGCCTTCCATGCCATACATTCTATGCCCTTTGCTTTTGGCCAGACGCTGGCTATGCCACTGGCTTTGGGCATGACTAATGCGTGTGGATGGGCGCCAGCCAGCCAGCCAGCCAGTCCGTCCGTTTCCCTCCCCCAATTAAACGGGCTCCCCGCCCGGCAACAGGAACGACGGAATATAGAGCGAATCTTATCTCCCGCAGCTTATTTCACAATTAAAGACAATAATGTTGGTTCTTTCAAATGATATTCAAAAATTTTAATCATGTTCTCTCTTTGCTTAAGACTATAACTTATATTGGAAGGATCGGGGCAGTATATATTCTTTATTGATTCTTAATTCTTAATCCTAATGAGATTGTCTAGAGAATTTCATTTTTTCTTTGGGTTTTGATGATTTTTTGTGTGTTTTTGTTTGGGTATATTTTCTTTTTTCGATATTTTCACATTCGAGCTCTTTGGTGGGCTTCCATAGTCGTCTCTCTCCCTGGCAGTGGCCTTTCACATGATATGCGTGGCCGAGCTGATGACCTGATGGATCCAGTCGGTGAAGGCCGAAACCCTCACGAAGACGGAGGGCGCGTTCTTCTGGCCGCAGGGCATCTTGCCCCACGATACGATGCCGATGACGATGTTGCCCTGCTCGAAGGAGTCCTCGCAGCACTGCTGGATGAGTGGGCCGCCCGAGTCGGCGGTGCAGATGCTAACGCCGCCGGTGAGGGGGCCCGTGCAGAGGTTCGTCTCGTGCAGCTGGAGGCCGGAGCAGGCGAGAATCTGTTCGCACAGCTCCATGTCCAGGATGGGCATGTTGGCCTCCTGCAGCTTGTGCGGATAGTTGGGCACGGCGGTCATCGAGACGTTGCCCCAGCCGTACAGAGTGCCATAGCCCTCGGGATGAGCATCCTGCTCGGGGAGCATGGCCGGCTGGACGTACTCGTCGAAGACCAGGGGCCTCTTGATGTAGATGAGCGCGATGTCGTAGGGATTGACGCCGCCAAGGTAGAGCTCGTGGCGGACGTAGTAGTCGATGTGGCGCATCTGGATGTTGGCCGCCTCGCCGCGGTGGTCATGGATGTCGTGGCTGCCTGCGACAATCACCGAGTTCTCGACGGTCTGCGGCGAGTTGAGGCAGTGGGCGGCCGTCAGGATCCAGTGCTCGTTGATCACAGTGCCGGCACAGTAGTGTACCAGGCCCTGGTCGGAGGTCATCATCTGTATGCTGACCACGTAGGGCGCCGTGTGGGGCGTTGCCTCGCGCTTGGCCAGGAACTTCTTGCTCCAGTGCGTCTGTCGCGGTGCTTCCAGTGTGCTAATCCGATTCTCGAGCAGCCCGTAGGCCGCCAAATTCATGGCCATTGTGTGGGCCGAGGATCCCATGGCGCTGTTGGCACCTCCGCACTTGCGGACGGTGGGCAGCAGGGAACTCTGGGAGGCACTGCTGCTGAGCACGACCATAATGCTGGCTATGGTCGTCAGCAGCACCGAGTATATGCATCGGTAGGATAAGAGCATAATGTCCTCGCTCTGGTAGCACGCGCCGCACGTATTCGTCGAGTAGTAGGTCGGAATTTTGACACTTGATGGGTCTTGCGGGACACGCGAAACGCGTCTCGATTTGATTTTTCTTTTGCTTTCGCCTTGGCTCTCCCTCTGGCGTATTTGTGGTAACACTTCACTCGTATTCCGTTTGTATCGTTCATGGAACACACGTTTTTGTTTCTCAGCGGTTTCTCCGGGCTGGCTGTTGCTTGCTTGATTGCGATTTTAAATTTGCAGGGTCCGCCGGAATGGGGGCTGTATTTATAGGGGGCCCACCAGAGAGAGTCTCCCCTTTCATTGGGTGTCTTCTTATCGCACAAAGAGAGAGGTTCGGTCGTATACCGAATGCCAAATCTAATCAGTGACGAGTCGAGATAAGGCCGAAATTCGGCGAGTGCCATTCGGGTTTTGGGCCCACAGGGACGACTGCCCTACCCCTTTCCCTATACGAATGTAGGGAGGCAGATCCCTCTTTTTGATCAAACATAATCTACACCTGCCTTTTGTTATATAATTTCGAAGATAACTGTTAACTATCGTGGGAAGAAAGCACCGCCTCTCACGTTAAATAGCGGGTGCCATGAACCCCGTGCTGAGGAATGTTTATGACGCATCGGCATTGGGTTTATATTACAGCGAAAGAAATAAATCATTCATGGAGGAGTACTTTCTGTGATTCAGTTTATAAAAATCCAATGAATCAATCCCCCCCACTGGAGCAAATGCAAATCATTTCTAATACTTTCTCCTATTGCAGAAGAACTTATACTTTGGGGCAAAACCAGAGCAAACCAGCATAAACTGCTGTCTGCCATTATTGATGACATTGCGAGGCGATAAGAATCTGTTCGGTTCAGTGATGTCTGTGGCTATATATAGTGCTCCAAGAGACCTGCTGCCTCAAATACCAAACCTCTGACGAGCACAAAAAACTTACTCACCCGCACTCCCAGGGTGCTCCTTCAGGCCCATACTCGGAGGTGTTCGCAATCAGTGGTTGTACGATCGGGGGCTTCCCGCTGGCATGGAGTGTGCCGCCTGCCTGCCCCAGGGGTTCGCTTATCTCGTCTGCCCTGGGGTAATGGTAATAGCCAATTTCGATTCGATTTAGTCACAATTCTTGTATCTCTGCCTGGATGGTTTGCCTGCGCATGATCTATCTATCGTGTTTGGCATTATAGAGAGAGGGAGAGGGCGACGCCATCGACTTATTTGGGCCGTATGATAAATGTTCCAAAGTTCAGGAGCCCCTGAGAGGTTTTATTTTCAGCGAAGTCGTAATGTGGGAATAACGTGCCTGTGTTTGTGCTTCTTCGGGTTCTCTGATTTTTGTTAATGAATTTTTAAGCCGAACCGCGTTATCGGGTCTTATCGACCGACGTGGCTGGTCAAGCACTACTATATTTGTGGATATATGTGTCATCTGAAATCGGCGGAGGATTGGAATTTATATTGCACCTAGTACAACCGACAGGAAGTAGAGTCGGAGGAAGTGAATTTATGAATGGGCTTTGAATCATTAATCGAATGGAATTCAAGTGCAGCTTGCCCTAGGTCGTTGACTCTCTCTCTCTATCTCTCTCTCTGGGTTGAGTAATACTACCAGGCTGGGGGTTTCTCTCTTCTTTACTGCATTCATATCATTCCATATCATTTCGTATCGTAGCGTATCAGCGCTGCTCCACATAATCTGCCAATGTTTCCGCTGACGTCACGAGTGTGAGGAAATCTCAATCTGTTGTCACGCTGCTCCTCCTGGAATCTGAAATCTGGCATCTGATTAGGCAAATGTTTGCTCAAGAGCATTGTTATTCCTCGGTTGCGGTTGAAAGGTATCTCGATACAGCCTTGCCTTATCGCATCAGTTGTATGTACAGCTAAACGCGCATTATTTCCTGGAACTAAGACCTGGTTTAACCAATTTTTGGCTTGCACATTATCACTGATATGTGACTCGCGACGCGTTTGGACTTGTTCTCTAGCTCTAATCTACATTCCTTTTGCTATTCCACTCGCTTTGCTGGCTATTATCAACGTGTATTGTGATGATATTTCAAGTACTTCCAACTGATTGCGATCCGTGAAAAGTTAATTATTCCAAAGCCCTCACGTGAGCAAACTGAGTGGAGAGCCCCTCCTTTACGGATGGCCATAGGCTCCTGGTGAAATGATGTTCCGAAACTGACCAAAAATGGAACCTTCTTGTAGGCACCCCAATCCAAAGGTTGTGGTTGCGGTTGCGCACGTTTGTGAAATACCCAGAATTGTTGGCCAGGCACGGGGCCTGCCCCAAAGATCAGTTATCTTTTATCTATTACACAGAATACAAGACTGCAAATTGTGTTTGCTCTTTTTGCCGCAAGAATTACTCATAACAGAAAAAGGGCAGTGAAAGACAAGGAGAAAGAGACGTGTACTTTGTGGCTTTTCCCAATTGAATGATGATGATAACATTGTTGTGCTTTCTTTTGCAGGTGTGGATCAATCAGGGCGATATCATATTGGTCGGATTGCGTGACTATCAGGACTCGAAGGCCGATGTCATCCTGAAGTACACGCCCGACGAGGCCAGGAATCTGAAGACATACGGCGAGTTCCCCGAATCGGTGCGCATCAACGAGACAGTCACATTCGTGGAGGATGGCTTCGACGAGGACATCGAGTTCGGCGACGAGATCAGCTCAGAGGACGATGCTGATTCCGTTGACAACATCTGATTAACAAGAAAACAAAGGAAGATGTTATCCGGAGGAGCAGCAGCATCATCAGGAGGGGGAGGGACGGGTTCGAGTGCGAGTGCGAGTGCGGCAGGAACGTCCGGCGGTGCAAAGTCAGTCAAAGAGTAGGGAATTAAACAAATTGTAAAAAGCAAAGAAAACCAGACCCCCCACAACCACATACCCAGCCAGACACACAGCAGGCTACCCAACATCCACAGAGCGGCGACACGACCACTGGCAAAGAGCGACAACTACAGCCACAACAATTACAGATAATAGCCCACAGTTTTTCAACAACTTCAATGTCTTTCTATAAACTTTTCGACTAGGTTCCAAATTCAAATTGTTTAATCTAATGCCGCGTCGCAAGCGACACGACAAACAACTATGTAATACAATTAGTAGAACTGTTGCACTGAGCAGCAAACCATGCCACACAGTGAAGCAACGAACAGAACACTAAATCTTTATGAAATTAAACAAAGCAAAGAAAACCCATAACAAAACGGATACTAGTTATTATTCACAAAAATCTAGAAAAAAAATAAAACGCAGAATAAAGCAAATTCATAAATCATAAATAATAGAATAGGAGTTTAGCTAACATTTATGTGTGTAAATGAGAAAGCGGAAGGTATAGAAGTTTCCATTGTAGCTAGCGAGTAAGCCAAATCAAATTAAATCAACCAACCATCGAGGTTTTGCCCCTCCCAAAAAGTGTTCCTTCTCGTCTTGTTTTAACTCTATCTCTATACTGGATACTTGATACTTTTGTGTTATTTTTGATGGTCTTCATAGCTATATATATCATATATTCCCAACGCCCCTTTTGTTTTTGCTGTCGATGCATTCGGTCCAGCTCCTTCCCTATTTCCCTATTTAGTTGTAATTTAATTCGAGCCTAACGAACGTGTAAAAACTAAAGAACATTGATTTTTTGTACTGAGTTGAACTCCAATAAATGGCGTTGATTAACCCGAATGCTAAACAGCAAATAATCATCCCCACCAAGTGGTTTCTTCTGCTCGCCGGTTTCAATTCAATTCAAACTACGTATTTTTATTATTAAATGCATAATTGTAATACATGGAAAGCCTTGCAGCTTACAGCTCCTCGTGGTGGGAGGGGAACTTCTTGAGTATGGCATGGTACAGATTGTAGAAGGCGTAAACTGAAACCGTGATAATCACCAGCAGAGCACCGCCAAAGGCGATGCTGAGGAAGTTTCCGTCGATAATGCCCGCGGATCGATGTCGCTTGGTGGAGAAAATTTCCTCTGTGGATGCAGGATTGTTCTGCTGCTGGGCCGTGCGTTCTGCCATCAGACGCTTCATGGTGCTCAGGCGCTCCCGCAGCACCTCCACCGATTCTGTGTCCAAGTCCGATGCTCCTGTTCCTGTGACGTGCGATAAATCGTTAGTTTTTCACTGAAAATTCAAGTGAATTGGATGCATATCTATTACCAGTGGCTTGGGTAGTGGAAGCACTTGAGTAGGCAGACATTGTTTGTTGTTTGATAAACTATTAATTGAGCAGAAAACGCAGCAGGAGCTAGCTTAAATGAATATTTTATTTCGGTATGGGGTGGTATATAAAATATAACGAGCAGCGCCTGCGCATAACCGACATCGGGTAGTCTTGCCAGATCGTTAAAAAAAAGTAAACGCTATCTGTTTACCGTATTCTGCATACCCTGGGAAATGGATATTATAGAATTGATAAAATGTTTGTCATCTCAAGCTCCATATATGCAGAAACTAGTCAGCCTCTGTTTAATAGCTATATCCACGATATTTTTCGGCTAATTGTCTTCTTACAAAGACCAAGAATAGGTATCGGGATCGAGATATATACATAACATATCAATTTGAGAAAATTTCTTTACTAATTACGTTTTTAAAAACAGTTTGGAAAACAGTATCTATGTATCTATACAAATGCCTATACTCCTATACAAGACACTCATCATATGCATGAATATGTCTAAAGCATATCAATCTGAGAAAAGGGCTTTATTAATTACGTTTTAAAACAGCTTTGAAAACAGTATCTTCATATCAAATTAAGGAAATAGGGTATGCAAATGCACATACTCCGGTTGAGAAGTTACAAGTAAGCAATAACGTGACATTCCATGCTCACTTACGTTACCTGTTTTTTTGTTGACCATTTTTGCTCAAACCTTGTCTTGGATACAATACAATAAAAAGGAGTACTAAAAAGTAGCCAATCTTGTAGTAAATGTATTCGTCAATGCCCTAAATTTATGTGGGCAGAGCTGAGAGTCTTAGATAGCCAGCATTATTCAAGGGAACATCAAAATTGAGCAATAGGAACGATTTTTCGTTTACGTTTACGTTATTACGTTTTTTTCGTTTGACCTTTTTCGCTTAAACCTTTTTTTTTGGAATATCCAATAAAAGCCTGTGTTTAAAATAAGCCAGTCAAGTAGAAAATAGATTAATTAATCGGAAAAAATTATGCGGGCAGGACTAAATGTTCTATTTAGCTAGTAATATTCGAAGGAATATCAAAACTGAGGAATATGTATAAAAGAACTTGAATTCGTCAGTATATTTACGGTATATTTTTGAAATGAGACGGTATATTTCTGGCGATAGATTTGATCGATAAATCGATAAATATCCCTGGAACACGTGAAACGCGCTTGTTGATTTTTTAATTTTTAAATGTTAGAATGGGCTTAACTAAACAATATTTAGCGTATAGGGCTATAGACAGCTTTAATATAATCACATCGGGTCGCGCCAATGTGAACTTTGCCATCGTTGACAAAACCGAGGGGCGGTACGTGGCCGCACCTGCTGCCGAGAATGTCATCATCTGGGATTTGCGGTGAGTGGCTGATCTTAAACAGCAAAAACAGGGTTTAACTAATGTCTATCCCCTCCAGCAAGGGCGATCGGAAGCTGACGCTGCGCCGGGAGAAGTTCGAGGTGACCTGCCTGCGTGTGTCGCCGGATCATCTACACATTGCCGTGGGCTATACCGATGGCATGGTCCAGATCTTTGATCTCAGCTCGGAGAGGTACTACGAGGCCATCTGCACGTTGGCCCTTCACAAGCATGCCGTGAGCATCCTGCGGTATGACCAGCAGGGGATGCGCTTGGTCAGTGGAGGCCTGGACACGGAGCTGGTGGTCGTGGATGTGGTGGAGCAGGCGGGTAGAGCGCGGCTGAGCGGACACAATGCTGCCATCACAGATGCTCACTTTCTGCAGCGCGTGGTGGACCAGAGCATTGTGGTGAGCTGCTCGAAGGACACACAGATCAAATTCTGGAACCTGGAGACGCAGTTCTGCTTCAAAACAATCGTAGACAATCGCACAGAAGTTTGGGCACTGGCCTTCATCGGCGACCTGATGGTGGCGGGAGCCAGCGAGAGTGGAATGAATGTGTATCGCTTGAAGAAACACGACGGCGCTGTTACCGAGACCCTGGAGTCGGCCGTCGAGGGCCTAAGCATAGATGATGAGGATTCGATAAGTCCCATACGCGTGAGCAATTGCGGCATTATTCAGCGCGCAGGCAAGGGCCGCACTGTCAACCTGGTCACCGATTACACTGAGCGCGTCTTGAGCTGCCACGGCACCAACGATCTGATAGAGAACTTTTACATATGCACTGCCGAGGAGGTAAAGCAGCGCCTGGCCAAGCGCCTGAAGAAGGAGAAGAAGGCCGCTGGCGATGATGCCAGCGACGAGGCGCAACTGTCGAAGCAGCAATCACTGAGCGATGAAATCAAGCGACTGGAGAGCATCCGAACCAAACAGAAAATCAAGTCCATCGATGTGGTCTTGGGCCAGAACAAGGAGATGCGTGTTCTGGTCAGTCTGGCCAACAATAGTCTTGTGTTGCATTCGCTCGAAGCCTCGCCCAAGAACCGCAAAGCAGCAGATCCCAGTGTGAAAGTTCTGCGATCCCTCACGCGCCTGGGCCACCAGTCCGAGGTGCGCTCCGTGTGCTTCAGCAATGACTCCCTGGCGGTTGGCTCCGGTGCTGGTGAATCGTTCAAGTTCTGGGACCGCGATGCCATGCAGTGCCTCCGCACAGTTCCCACGGACTATATTCTGTGCTCAAAGTTCGTGCCCGGCGATCACTATGTGCTTTTGGGCATGAAGAGCGGCAAGCTGCTCATTGTGGACGTGGGTGCAGCGGACATTGTGGAGGAGATTCCAGCCCACGAGAACGAACTGTGGTCCATTGCTATGCTGCCGGATCAGAAGGGATGCATTACGGGCAGCGGTGATCAGACTCTCAAGATCTGGACCTTTGAGCTGATTGATGCTGCGGCGGGAGCGGGCGAGAGCAAGGTCCTGTCACTGCTGCACAAGAACACCCTGAAGCTGGAGGAGACTGTGCTCTGTGTGGGCGTCAGTCCGGACATGAAGTATCTGGCCGTGGGACTGCTGGATGCCACCGTCAAGATCTTCTTTCTGGACACCTTCAAGTTCTATCTGTCGCTGTACGGCCACAAGCTGCCCGTGCTCTGCCTCGACATCTCCTACGATTCGAATCTGGTCGTCACCGGGTCTGCTGATCGCAACATAAAGATCTGGGGCCTGAACTTTGGCGACTGTCATCGCTCAATCTTCGCCCACGACGACACGGTAATGTCCGTGCAGTTCATACCCAAAACGCACATGATTTTCAGCTGCGGAAAGGACGGCAAGGTCAAGCAGTGGGACGGCGACTCCTTTGAAAAGATTATCACACTTCCCGGTCACATAGGCGAGGCCTATTCCCTGGCAGTGTCACCCAATGGCCGATTCCTGGTCACCTGCGGATCGGACCGCACTTTGCGAATGTACGAGCGGACGGACGAGACAATCGTGCTGAAGGACGTCCAGGAGGAGGAGCGCGAGCAGATGGAGAATGAGCAGCTTGCCACTGGAGAAGACAACAGCGTGCCCCTGCTGCCCAGCCTGAAGATGGCATCGCGCAAGACGGTGGGCTCGGAGAAAGCGGCCGAGTCCATTCTAGAGTGCCTGGAGATATCGAAGCAGTTTGAGCTTGAGGCTGAGGAGAAACCGGAACTGCACCCTCTGATGCAAGCCCTGCAAGTCAAGAACCCCGTTGATTTTCTAGTCAACACATTCATGCGGATACGTGCATCCGACCTGGAAGAGGCGCTTCTCCTTCTGCCCTTTTCCGTCGTCTGCGAGCTGCTTGAGCGCCTGCCCATCCTGCTAACCCAGCGACCCGATCAACTGGAGCTGCTCTGTCGCGTCACCATATTCCTGTTCAAGGTTCACATGAAGCCCATTTCGGCGACCAAGAGCATGAAGCCGCTGCTGTTGAAACTTCTTACAATGCTCAAGCGGGATGTCGGCCAGCTCCGGGACATCCTCGGCTGGAATCTGCACGGCCTGGCTCTGCTGCAGACCGAAGTGGAGCAGCGCGAGGGCGTACAGCTGTTCCGAGACGCGACCCAGGCTCGTCGCAAGCGCGATAAGAAGCGACGGGAGGCAAGTAAGCGACGACTCCAGATCCAAATGGTCTGAGACGGAGCCCCCTGCAGGGAATCCCTTAGGCTTAGGTGTATTACAACAAATAAACAAAGTTAGTTATTTTTTGATACTAAGTACAAGGAAGGCCGATCCATTTTTTGTGTATTGCAGGGCTTACGATCCTGGGTAAGTAGGTCCTTCCCTGATCTGGCCCTATTTTGACGAGATCTAGCCCGAAACGTTTTTAATGATGAAACATCTGGGCGTGGCACGGTTTTTCGTGAGCTTGAGAGGAAAGTCCACCGATAGGCACCCGAAAAATGTACGGCTCGGGCTCAAGAAGCACGAGTGTTCCCACATTCAATTGAAACAACAGATTTCCTTTTGGCTGCACTTCTCTGGCATTTATTCTACAGCTCTTCAGATCCGGCACGTGGCTCAATCTTGACCATTTCAACATCGAAGACCAGCACGGCATTTGGTGGTATCTTTCCGCCACCGGCTCCACTTGCTCCATAACCCAGCTCGGGGGGAATGGTCAACGTTCGCTTCTCGCTCTCGCACATGCCCAACAATCCTTGGTCCCAGCCCTTGATTACCTGGCGGGCGCCCAGTGTAAATGAAAATGGAGTGGAGCGGGAGTAGCTGCTGTCGAACTCTGTACCATCCTGCAGCGAGCCCTAAATACAGATATTTTAGAGGTTAGATTAGGCCGGAGCCGGCACGCAAGATGGTGTTTTTCTACCTTGTAGTGGACTTGGACCAAATCGCCACTTTTAGCCCTTCTGGTGCAGTTCTCCACCCGCTTCTTGATGCCTATTTTCACCTTGGCCGACTCGTTGGCCAGTGTTGTGGCGAGGAAAGCGAAGAATAACAACAAACAAACCAATTTCATCTTAAAAAGTTTAAAATTAAAAAATCAATATCGGTTCTATTGATAGGCCGTAAATATACCGATGAAAAATAAACTTAGCCCACTTACACCCCTTTCTTTAAACAGGATTTCAACTTGACGTAACCCGCGGGAAATAATACTAATATTAATAACAATAATTATTA